CTTTAATCATATTTTTAGCTAACTTAAAACAGTTAAATTAAATCAGGTTAGGGAACTTCCTATTCTTCTTAAACGGAATCGCTATATCTACAAATTATTTTATACTTTTTAGTTCTTTTTGTAATAAAAGCGTGTTTTTAGTTTTTTTAACTATAATATTATTCTTAACAATCTTAAACCACAAAATGGCATTCGAATAAAAGGCTCTAAATTAGACCATGACGTCAGAATTGAGGTTTAACTGATACAGCCTGTATAGCTGTGAATTACAAAAAAAGGCCCATTTTATCTCACAGGCGAATTTTGCACAGAAAACCGAACGGCACTGCCGGGCCTTAGCCACAATAAGGATGCTTCCCAGCGCTGTACCTTTGGTTTTGGTAGGTATATGGGAGCTGTATTGATAAGAGAGGTGAAAGGACCTCCAACCACAATGGAACTCTATTAAGCTACGTAATTATATCTTGTTGAGGGCGAAAGCCTAAATTTACTGAAAGTTAGTAGACAAATAGAGTTTTTACTGGCCAACACATTTTGTCTGGTGCAGATTGTAGGCAAAGCGGAGGATACTGCTGGAAAAATAATGATATTATTTAAGAAACTCTCAGCGCAAAATTTCATTTACTTTCTAACGCTTTTTTGAACAATACACAATGCGGGCGAAATCCAAAAGTGCGGCCAAAATTGGAAAAACAAATTCTAGATAGGGCTTTTTCATCATTAAATAGGCTAAAGAGATCCTCTAAGAAGAGAAAACCGTTAACAGTAACGTCCTCCACTTCAATTCCCCGCTTTGTTTTTAGTCGAAATGTGGCCTTTGCCTATTTAAGCAAAAAATTATGGTCGATTCAAAGGGAAAAGTTATAAACGTGTGAAAGTACTTTGAGTAAAGCAAATCCAACAAAACCAAATGGAATCTATTCCTGAAGGTTAGTAAAATACGTACAAATTTTTGTAAACACTGTAACCGAACTTTTTTAGAAATAGAAATATAAGGGTATATTTTTTTTTTATTTAAGTTATTGGATTTTATGGAAATTGCCTTTTTTTCTGCTAATGAGATAGAGTATATTCGATTAAGAATGTCCACGATTTAGCTTTCCCTGATTCCATATATACACATTTGATGTAGCCTTTTTTTTGCGTTTTTTAAGATATTTGCCTTTTTTGCCTTTTCTACTTTTAAAAAAAGTGATTATAGCATTTACAATTTTTTTTTAAGATTTAAAAATATACACATGCCCGTGCGGCTTATAGAAGCGCAGGGACCTCTTGCCAAATTGATGTTGGAAAAATTCAAAGCCGTTTTCTCAGCTAACGTAGCCTTGGAGACAATAAGGGATGTGGATAAAATTGTAAAGGGCGAGGAAAACGCCCTTATTCCTGATAATATGAAAGTTTCAAACATTCCATATTTAAATTGGGCTCCCTTGTATCAACTTACGTCGAGCGCAAAATTATTCATATAATGAAACTAGTTCATAGTTTTTCTCTTTTTACTTTTAATATAAACATTTCTAAAATAAATGTATTTTTTGATTGTTCTTCGTATTTTCTGTCTTTTTTAGTGCCTTATTTTGCTTTTTTTGCAATACCTAGTGCCTTTTCCTGCCTTTTTCGCCATTTTGTTGTGCCTTTTTTGCCTTTTTCTCTATTTTATTTTGCCTTTTTTATAGGTTTTTAGGTCCTAAAAATCCGTTCCCTGCCAATTACAAATCTCGAAATTTACCAGACGCCATACTGAATCCTCCATTTTGAGTTTTTCAATTCTGACAGCGGATTCGTTGTTAGCGACGCCAAAAACCGCCTAGTACGCAATTGCATCGTTTCTTTAAAGCTTCGAGTTTTGGCTGCACTTTTGGGTTTCGGCCGCACTGTGCGACTTCGTATAAATCTGCTAAGCTAGCATGGTCGTTGATGGATTGCATGCTCTGCCATGTACTGAACAGCAGATCAGACTAAAATATTCTTAAGTCATATATATGTATATATATAGCTTGATGTCTGAAGCTCTCCGGTATTAGCAGAATAGAGTAGAGTTTCAGCAATTTCATGCTGCCAAACCCAAATAACTGCCATCTTTCAAATTGCCTTTAATGAATTTAGTATTTATAATTATGAATGAACAAAAAAATTTTGTTGCATACGTGCAAGTAACGTGGAGCAAAAAATCTTTGAAAATCGAAATTCTGTACCATCAATTCTATGCATATGTAAATTTCCAATACTTTAATGCAAATACAAATAATTATGCTTAAATGAATCTGCTTGAAGTGTAATGAATAACTATTTACATTATTCTGACTATTCCAAGTATTTGGCATACAATTTATGGCATT